GCCTTTCAGACGTCGGGAAACTCCCTTCTGTCGCCAAAGTTGCCGCATGTTCAAGAAGGAAGCTCTGGCCTTTGCAATGCGTGAGCTGACGTCAGTTTCTATGCGCCCATTGTTGTTGATGCATCTGCCAAGATAAGTGAATTGATCAACCACCTCGAGTACTTCGTTAGCAAGCGTCAAGGGGTCATAGAGTGGCTGGTGGTCCTGCAGCAACACTTTGCACTTTGAAGGTGCGAAGTGCATACCAAATAATGGGACCACTCTAGACAGGCTATTCAGGGTTGATTGTGCCGCCCCAACATCGTCGAAAAGCAAGACGATATCGTCCGCATAATCTAGATCAACTAATCTTTCATCAGGCAGCATTTCAACACCTACACCGTGAGATTCCGCAAGGGAACACTCCATGATATAATCCACGACGAAATTGAACGAAAACGGGGAAATCGGACAACCCTGACGAACGCCACTTGTGGTCGGAAAGCTATCCGATGGGACACCGTAGACACTGACGCGGCCTGTAGTGTTCGAGTATGGAGCACAAAGGATGTTCACATATTTCGTGAGAACACCTTTCCGCGCAAGTATTTCGAACAGAATCGATCGATCGACTGAATCGAACGCACTCTTGAAATCGAGGAACACAGTTATTGTCGGTCTGCGGTATGCGTGGCGCTGCTCTAGCACCTGCCGCAAAGTGAATATATGGTCTATACAGCCACGCCCTGGGCGGAAACCGGCCTGCTCTTCCCTAATCCGAGATTCCCGTTCTGCAGTGAGGCGACGAACGAGAATCGAGGCCGGTAATTTTATCACGATTGGCGTTAGGCTAATAACTCTGTGGTTAGAACAGTCTGTGCGACTGCCCTTCTTGTATATTGTCACTATAAACGATTCGCTCCAATTAGCCGGGACACTAACTTCCTTCCAGATATATTTGAATAAGGTCAGTGCTTTGCAGAGGACTTCACCTCCATCCTTAAATGGTGTAGGTGGGAGGGAATCCGGGCCGGCGGCACAAAAACGATTAAGGGCTGTGATCGCGTTTCGGACCTCGACCTCCGACGGAGGCCCTAAACTAACCGTCCATGGCTCGCCCTGCCTCACCTGAGTAAGAAGACGTCCGGCAGCAGGGGGCCAGCTGAACTGATCTTGAAAGTGTTCAGCCCAGCGAGCCATATGGCGCTCCTTATTGTGTATCAGCGCACCCGCGCTGTCTCTGATTGTCTCACTGACGCCTGGTTTTCTGGGACCAGTGGTGCGGAGTAGCTGGAAAAGCTTCCGGTAATTGCCTACTGCTCCTGCCTCCTCTATTTCTTGAGCCGTACTGGTCCACCAGGCTTCCTTGTCAGCACGTAGGCTCTGCTTTAGTTCACGCCTAATAGCCCGTGTGGTCACATTGCGCTCAGAGCCAGCCGGGAGGTCTTCTAGATTCCAACAGGTTCACCGACCTATCGGATATCCAGTGACTAGTGCGGTGATGATGGACAGTGTCACAAGCAGATGTTCCTGCGTCATGCCTGGCGGCCGAGATCCTATTCCACCGAAGCTCAGTGTCATTAGGACAAGACAGCGACAGTTCGCCATGCATTGCTTCTTGACAGGCTTGCCTGACCGAGGACTGGGACAATTTCTCCGTTGCCAATCGGGGGAGACGCTTTGTGCGCCTTCCGGTAAAGTTCAAGAAGAAGCGACAACGTACCAAGGCATGATCAGTCGACACAGGTACTACAGTACGAGCGGCAATCCAGGATGGAACCACGCCATCTGTAACTTATGGCTAGGCGGTCAATTTGGGCCCATCGCTGGCCAGCTACAAGAGGACGCCAAGTGGCACTTCGGCGCCCACTGTGTCTAAAAGCAGTGCTACTAAGAAACAACTGGTACTCCGCACACAGTTGCAGCAGACGCTCGCCGTTGTCAGTCCGTTCAGAGTTAAGTCCATACTTACCACCCAGCTGAGCTTCTGAAGAGCTCAGACGCCCTATTTGTGAATTCATATCCCCTGCACGTACTATAATATCTGAACTAGTAGCACTGCGTAGTAGAGCGTTCAGTTCGTGATAGAAAGTGTCCTTGACTGCATTAGAACTGCAGTCGGTGGGAGCATAAACGGAAATCACAAACAAACAGCGTTTTGTATTGCTTCGTGAATCCACCTTAGCTGATGTCGTCAAACGGGCTGCACATAAACGGCTGTTCACCGGAATACAATCAAGCAACGATGACTCAGCCTTGGAGCTGAGAATGATACCTACACCAGCTTGACCCGTGAGTGCTGCATCGGCGTCTCCGGATGCGTGCAACCAATAACGAGAGGATAAGCCGGGTGCAGTCAATTCAATAACTCCGTTAGGGTCATTGATCCTAGTTTCGGACACACAACACATGATTGTGTGTGACCATACATCGCTCCTCTACCGCAGAGTATTTGACTTTTTCCATCTAACGAATTATCCTAACCTACTACTTTTTAAAGTTTTAAAATTTTAGACTTTTATACGCACTCAGGATCAAAATGTTTTCAGTTTCTCGTGCTTTAACTCTACGGTTTGTAGTTGTATGTAGTCTCCCTTACTGGTTATACTGTTCCCACGTTACTTTACCAGGACTTATGCAAAAATTTATATTTTTCGTATCAGTTCGGTAAAATTTATTTCTTGTTGCTCTAGATTAAGGGAAGCGCCGTTCATTGAGTTAATCGCCAACGAAAATTTTGCTACATCCAAGATTCTAAACGCGCCCCCTCACTTTTTACATAGTTTCCTAGCCATCACGGTCGAAATTTAAGGTTTTATATTCTCGTACCCCGTCGGATCAAAACTTCAACCATTGCACCCAAAGGGAATGAGCCACTGCTTTCGCGACTGCATGCTTGATTGAAGATGCAACTTTTCGTTCATATCAGCAATACGCCGGTACGCTCTACCGACGCTTCGCTGCCGCGCGACCATCACCTGTCGCACGTGCGCTAAGGATACTGCGAGGGTCCCCCGGTCTATACTCAGACTCGAACCTGCGCCCTCGGATTACAATGCTGTCAAGTGTTATCTCTCATTAATGCGTTAGTTGTATTTATGTTCCACAGTGTTAGCGAGAAAATGCTAAAAGTGCGCCCATATGGGCGGGTGGATAGTTTGTTTTGTCTAGTTGTGTGGACAAGCTGTTCTATACGGATCCACTTTAAGATACCCTGAGAAAGGCTACGAGAGATGTGCTCCTCCTTCAAGGGGGGTACAATGTAAAGTAGAGAAACACAAGTGCAGTTTCGTTGTTCAAACGAAAAATGGTAGGCGCAGTTGTTATCATTAATCACATTGCCATCATATTAAAAAAGGCAGCAGGAGAAAAAGAAATTAGATGAGTGTGAAGAATGATACAATCAAGGGAAACGACAACACAATAGATGACACAAAGCAGAATGTGGTTGCCATCCGTAAGACAGAAGACCGGAAGTCGGGATGTCATTGCGATAAAACTCGAATCAGTGATGCGGCTGATTCCGAGGCACCCTATAGAGAAGACAGCGCAAACTAGCCGAACAAATATATATATATATATATATATATATATATATATATATATAAACACTTGCCCAATAAATATTTGGCAGTCACAAGACATGAGTAACAATAACAAAAGAGAGAGTAAGAAGAATGGAAGCAAAGTTCCATGTGTTGCGTGGGCATTGAGCATCCCGGTTGCCCAGACCAAGGAAGAACAAGGCATTTAGGTTAACGAAACCACGATTCTACGTCCTGTCAGCGATTGACCTAACTAGACGCAATGCAGCTGAAAAGAATACATGGCGAACTCATGGAAATTAATGTCATCGCATTCCACTTTGAAGGTGCGGAGTTGCCCCTTTGAAGTGCAAAGTACTGTTGCACGACTGAGTTAAAACGTAATCGCCGAACAGCCACGCAAAGTAATCGATCGGCTCACTTATCGCGGTACCTGTATCAGCATTAGCCGTCACATCGGTGATGAAGTCAGTGTACGAACCAGTGGATCCCGTGTGGATACCCAAAGCTTCAATCATCTATTGAGTAGGTGGGATATCTGAAGCCGCTGCGGTCCAGCCGGTGCTACTGAGTGGACCAAAAGCACCGAAGACGCACAGGTGCTTGCAGACTACTGCTCACATTTTGTAGGAAACCAGACGATGGCTTTGTGATTGGAAAGAAACTCATAGGCACCGCAGCGGAGTGCCTGTGACCTTGCGCCACATAAATTGGTCTGATCACATCCTCCGCGTGCTGATTGGCGGCCTACATCGGAATGCATCAGAAACTGTTGTTGGACCCAAATGAGTTAACCCGCAAGTTGACCAGTGGATAAGATAGTAGAGAGGCATGAAAGAATTGGATGAGATCCGGTCGGAATGACGTTTCCCGTCTTTGTGAACATGCGCCTCAGAATCCGCCACATTAATTGCTGGAAACCTTGAAGGATATGGCGCTGTTGAGCAATTCTGGTGCATCTGCATTCGGTCTCTTGTATCCAGTATTCAGCATTCCAACCTGGTGTATTGTACCCATATTTCTCAAAGCCACTGTTTTTTCTACTTTGCTTCTGCTATCCCGTTTATTGATGGCTCTATGTGTATTGTATAGGCAATTGCTATTGTACCTCGTTTCAACTAGTACTGTTAAGTGCTACCATATTGGTGATGTGAAAGATAACAGCTCGATCCACCGCTCCCCTGTGCTCGGGACATAGTTGTCTATAACTGAAAAACTGAACTAAGTGCTCTTTGTATTGAGTGCTGCCCGCCCGAAGCCACTGCACGCCAGGACAAGTTTCGAACCCGTTTTAGTTTATCATGCAGAGATGATAGCAGGCATTAAAACAAGAGACCAATGGAGCACAGTTTTCCTCGGGTGGGCAACATACGATATCCAGCTGCTTCATCAATTACGGTCCCAGTGATCAGATTGACACCAAGGTCCACTTTAATGTGCATCACAATGCATTCACACGAGTGCTTCGAAATGGCCTCACCAATAAGTGGTCCTTGCCTTCTCATTGTACGCTCCAAACTAAGGTGAGAAAAAAAAGCGTTTTAAGGCACCCACACGTATCGGCAAAAGCAGTTGAAAAGGAGGTAATGAAAGAATCGCGCAAACACAAAACTTACAAGTTCGATTAATTGGCCATCACTGGTACATTCTTCGAACGGTTCGGGAGGAATGTTCTCGAAAGAGCGAATCAACTTCGACACCTTGGATAAAACTACGGGAAAGCGGAAACAAGACGTAGAATGGAAAGAGGTACAAAACTTACGGGCGTCTGTCTTGGCTTTATTAGGATGCACACGCTGAACAATATGCAAATCTTTCAAACGCAGTTTAGATGGCAGTGCTGGTGACGAATTCGGACCACGTTTCATATTTCGAATTGCAATCGACTCAGAATTGAGTTGGCATGCGTATAATGTGAACAGTGTGGATAGCTAAAATGAGCAATAGAAAAACTGGATTCCAGAAAGCTGAACAAAAAGTGCCAGCTTCGAGTTTAAACAAAAGCTGGTTCATACCAATGAAAGCATCACCCGATGTACAGAAAAGAGTCAGATGATACATCAAGCAGCTGAAAGAAAAGAGAACATGCACTGCAGATTTTCACGTACCGCAACAGTGGAATCAAAATGTGGCATTTCTGCGCCAAGACGACGGCGCAATAGCCCTCCGAGAATCAGAAACAAAGTCTGGACCTAATACAAAACTTGTCATTCAAAGAACAACAAGGTCATTTTATATTTTGCACAAAGTAGATCGATTCACAATGTAGTGGGTCCCCTCTTCTTAATGCTTTCCTGACCGGTGCTCGAGTTTTGTTCATGTCAGTCCGAACCAACTGCACTGTTCATCCAGCCCATGTAATTTGCATCAGCTTGCACCGACGGTGATCGAGTGGTGCTCAGGCGGTTGGCTTCGTGTTCGCCCAACGCATCCGTTCGATCCGCCACCAACAATCATACAAGGTGTGGTATCTTATCAGTAATACCACAACCAGCAGTAGCAATGACAACGTTCTCCGAGAATCAGTGTGAGGTTAGTTTGATTCCCATTGTCACCCAACTGTGCACATTCGATATGCTGCAAAGGTTCAGTGATCGGCGTGAGACACTGACGAAGTTGGGGCTGGCTCCTACACTAGCAGAAAGCATAATGATCAAATGTTTAATCGTTGCCTAGTGCTCTAACGACACCGTACTTGCAAAATGGCTGTTATTATAGCAGATAGAAACTGGGTGTTGCTCGTCCGAAAGAAATGTATCCCTCGACTAATTTCGAAATCGGCTGTTCCCATCAGATTCAAATTGGGATCGCACGTCGCAATCCAGTCACAAGAGTGCTAACTATTGCGCCGAGCGTTGTCCACCGCGACTTAGTAGACAATGGGTAGAAGCATTGGTAGATATGCCAGAAGCTCTAGGTTCGAGCACTTGGTAGCTCTACCTGATGAGATGAAAACAAGTTCGAAACCTGTCGTGGAGTGCAGTGTTTTCGGGCAGGCAACACACAATGCTCATGTGCTCAATCGGTTACGGTCCCAGTGATCGTACTGACCAGGGTTCACTTCAATGTGAATCACGATCCAGATGGTGATTGCGCGTCGTATATATATATATATATATATATATATATATATATATATATATATATATATATACGACGCGCAATCACCATCTGGATCGTGATCCACATTGAAGTGAACCCTGGTCAGTACGATCACTGGGACCGTAACCGATTGAGTTCGCGGCTAAGACATTAAACACTTGGCCATGCTTGACCACCGGTGCTTGCGAAGTATCGCTCACGTATGGTGGGAACACCGGTTGAGCAATGCTGAGGTCCGCCAGTTGGTTTCTGACAAAAAGTCTTCTGATGCCGCACTCGAGTGCTTGCTAAATCTTAGTCGCTTGCGGTGACCTGGCCATGTCTTCCGTATGCCCGTTGATCGGCTTCCTCGGCGTGCATTCTACGTCATGATTGCACCAAGCAGGGAGAAAAATCGAGGTGGCCAGTCTATGGCGTGGCGATAAGGTATGAGGAAATTAACTGAAAGACTTGGTCAGGCTGGTGCTTGCCGTCTTCGTGGATGAGGGCCTCGGGATGGTGCACACCAATGGTTGGAGACCGTATCAGACATGGCGCAGTCAGTAGTGTACTTGCATCTAGTGGTTAATTTTCATTCCATTTTAATTAGTCCAAGACATTTCCTCTCTATATTCTATCCGCACTCGGCTGGCTTGCCGAACTATCTCCTCGTAGTGCCAGCTGGGTGGTTCGGGTGTACCCCGTTCCAGCAAAGTGCTCGGCGACAATGTTCCACCTCGGTGGGACATTGTATTCCAGCAGGTGTGCTGACTTAATGGGGATTATTGGGCCTCTGTTTGGTAAGCTACCAAACAAAGGCGCATAAACTGAACATTCAGTCAAAGCCTCCCTATGGGCGCGATTCCCTAAATTCGCCCCGCTGCCTTGCGGGTAGGTTATTTAGCCAAAAGCTCGGGGTGGGGGTCCCCTAAGTCAACTCCCTACTTCGGCTTGGGCAACCGGGTAGTATCACGCCCTCTCGCAAAATCATGGACCGTATTACAACTTGCTCATCAGCTGCTATTTCTGCTAGTCACTTTCACGCGACTTCATCACACGCCAATCGTTTGTTTGTTAACAATCCTCCCTCACTCTCGAAGGTGCACAACTTGAACAGGTAGATAGTTTCGTCTACCTTGGGAGCTGTATCCGTTGACGGCACTATCAGCAAAGAAGTTTCTCTTTGTATCGCTAAAGCTCGATCAGCATTTGTCAATCTGAGGCATTTGTGGCGTCGTCGCGACGTCTCATTCTCACTAAAGGGCCGCGTTTACAGCGCATCAGTTCGCTCAGTATTGTTGTATGGGTGCGAGTCCTTGCCGATTCGCGTGGAAGACATGCGTCGTCTTTCTGCGTTCGATAACGGTTGCTTAAGGAGGATCGCTCGTGTTTGGTGGCAACATCGAGTTAATAGTAATGACGTTCGACGTCGCATCTTGGGGAATGCGAGTATTCCCCTCAACAAACGGGTTTTGTTGCGCCAGTTGAGATGGCTCAGTCACGTCCTACGCATGGCACCTGAGCGTCTACCGCGTCGTGCACTATTCGCTCGTCAAGGACTTGGCTGGAGGCGACCGCGTGGCGGTCAACCTTCCACTTGGCGGCAGCACATGAAATTGCTGACGTCGTGTCTATCCGCTGTTCGATCCGTACATCTTCCAGAATGGGGACCCAAAGATGAGGAGTGCCAATGGCTTAGCACTCTTGAAGATATGGCCCGCAACCGGAATCAGTGGAAGAATTGTGTACAGTATTGTACTGATTCACATGTCTAATACTACAAAGATTAAAATGACAAAAAAGAGCAAAAGCGGCGTGCGAAAAACAAACTAAAAATGTTTTGTTCTACTTTTTATCAATGTTCCATTCTTCCTTGTGACATATTAGTTAAAGTGTGTTGCTCACCTTCAACTAGCATGCCACGATGGTTATGACGCGATGAATCTTGCTTATCTGCTGATCTCCATGGTTTTATGCTGGCTCTATGTCTAGTTAATAGACTGTTGAGATTACATACATACATTCGCACCCAAACCCACTGTCCTATCGATGTTATTTACGGTTATTTTAACGATGTGAGTCATGGCAAATGGATCCACCGCAATTCGGTGCTCAGATCATAGTTGTTCAACTGAACCGAAGTGAACTACGGGCAATGTGCTATCGGAACGATGGCTAAAAAGGGAGGAAACAAAATACAGTAACCAAGAAAAAACGCTTGCTTGAGTTTTACACACGCCATTTTCAACATTTGTGGAGTTATCTTATACATATTTGTTCGAATCGACACCAACAAATGATGCGGTTGAGCAACATTGTCGCCCCTGACGTCTGTCCTGTGTCATAACCTCTAGCATTTCTAACCACTGTCAGTCCGGGTCGCATGGTCCCCATCCTGGAAGGCAAACCGATCCGAAGTATGCTAAGCTTGAAGTAGCCTTCCTCATGCTCCTTCTCCACGTCATTGGTTGCCTACCCTGGAATTGTATCTGATCGCTTTCGTGGAGTGCAAATAACGCTCGATGGGCAAGGCGATAGTCTGGCATGCGTAACACGTGACCGAACCAACGCATGCGGTGTCGGAGAATAAGGTTTTGGAGACATGGGTTGTTTGCTCTCAGACTTCTGCGTTACTCACGTGATGCTATCACCATACGCGAGCAGTCCTAGGCAGACAACAATCGTCGAAAACTGACAATCGCTTTGTGTCTTCCGAGCGAATAGACCAGGTCTCACAAACGTACAAAAGAGCCGCATGAACAGAGGTAATGTACATCCTGCTCCTCAGTCTGAGACTGACATCATGGCGACGCCATAGGTGTCTCAATCTGATGAATGCAAGACGGGCCTTTGCGATCCGTTGTGAGACCTCATCTCTAATACTGTCACCAGCCGTGATGCAACTCCCTAAATCAATGAAGCAGAGGACTTGTTCCAAGATAACACCAGTAATGGTGAGGGCAGGCAAAGGTACCTGCTAATTCTGGAGTAGTATTTTGCACTTACCTGGGATGAAATATAGGCCATACTTAGAAGCCTCCATTGCTAAGCGATTCAAAGCACTCTGAGCGACTTTTGGTTCGTACCCAAGCAAAGTGATATCATCGGCGTGATTGCGCGTTGTAATCTAATCACGCGACGAGCGCTTCAAAATAGCCAACGCGATCACATGATGGGTGTTCATCGAACAGAAGACCGCCATCAATTCGCTTGACTGTGCCATTTTGCGGTGATGCCCATCCATAGGAAGTGCACCTGATAAGTTTCGTTCTATTCTGAAATCTCGATAACACCATCCTCGGATCTGTATAAAAGTAGACGATAAACTCCATCCTGAGTTCGATACGATAGATGGAGTGCGCCAGTTGGCGCCATTCTACCTCTCTATTCCCCTTCAACGTTGTGACTGGAATGGCCTTGAATGAATCTCACCTGTCTCCCTCCGCTCTCTCAAGGATAAATATTTTCTTCGCTAACCGTCTGTCAAACTTAGAATACCCCGGTGACATTAAGACCCATCATCGTACACGTTAGTTGGAGGCTAGAAATGTCTCACGTATTGTTTCGTAATAATAGTAGAAAAAACAAATAAAAGCGAAAGCAAAAGCATAGGTGATTGTTTTTTATTATGTATCAGCGATGAGATCGTGGTTGGATAACGAGGCTAAGCGGAAGAGCGAGGAAAAAATAAATTCACAACATAAACGCTATGTCAACAAATGCATCAAACCCAATTCGTTCATCTACTTTCGGACCCCCACCAGGAAGTTGGGAGGCTACAACCGAGGATCTTCATGCCTCCTGATAAAGTCATCCGTAGGCCTCCCCTCCTCTTTTTCCATCCATGCCTCGGTCACACAAACAACGTAAGTCGCGGGAGTTTGTGTGCTGGCAAGCGTAACACGGCACAACCATAGAAGATTGGTGCAGAGCGGTTTACTTGTTTTTCCTGTGCCATATACAAGAGACAGAACATGCTCACTGCTCA